TATTATAGATGTTTGATATTTTTTCTTTGACAATTCTAAAGTCGTAGCGAATTCTTCAAGACAAAATTGTGGAAGATGCAATTTTTTCTTAAAAGTGAGATCTTGAGTTAAGTAGGCCCCCACTCACATTATTTTCTGGGTCCGTCACTGTATGAATATGCATATCATATATAGGCCCCCACTCACATTGTACATCTATACGATATATAATAACAAAATCCTGGAATTTTAACTTCCCGCCCAATTCCTAAAAAATCTCTCTTCCCAATAAAATATATTGATTTCTACTTTCCCATTCGTACAATAATTCTGCGTAAACATTCTATTCTAAAATTTTAAAATAGTGTAATACAATTCCCTTTGTACATCTATACTATATCTACTATACTAATAAGAACCCAAGAGAGTTAGGCCTATAATGGGTAGAAAAAATGGCGGTAAAAATTTTTAATCGAATAAATGGCTTAGATTGATCAGATTTTAATTTTTCCTTGAGATTTCCTAATTTATCCTTAATGAATATGATTATCCGTTAACTTTTCCGTTAAATATTATTTTTTCCGTTAATTTATGTTAGTTCACCGTTAACTTACTCATTGGTTTCAATAAGAAAGGTCTTAGGTTCGAACCACATCCCAATCAAAGTTAAATAATAATTTAGTAGCTACAAGAAAAAATAATATATATGCATTTCTTTAATTTAGAATTATGTGTCTACAATGCCTTTATTCAAAAAAAAGTTATTCATTATCAATAAATTAAATAAGAGAAATAATTTCATTAGCTATATTGTCTTTATTTTTCTCCAATATAAAAATTCTTTACATTCAAAATTCAAATTCATCAATTGATTATATTCGCTACATTGTCCCTATGTCTTTATTAAAAAAATTATTCATTATCAATAAATTAATTAAGAGAAATAATTTCATTAGTTATATTGTCTTTATTTTTCTTCAAATGTAAAAATTCTTTACATTCAAATTCATCAATTTATTATATTCACTACATTGTCTATTATTTTTTTTGTGCACTATTTTTTAATTAAATATCAAAGTTATAGTACAAAATAATGCTATATATTTATTTACCAAGTATTTTATTAATACCATGAAAAAATTTAAAAAATTTAAATTAATAAAGCCAATTATATTAACTACTTGGGGGATTTGTTGACAAAGAGAGTATTCAAATCACACAACAAATTGAAGTGAGAAACTACCTCGCAATGTCCTTGTTCGACAATCAGCAGTTAGCGGTTAGCGTTAGCGGATTTGACCAGCGAATTATATCAACGGTTGGTAAAAAAATATTTGAAAGAATTAGCTGTTTAAATTAACATTAAAAATGACCTAAGGGTATACCTATAATAATAATAATAATAATAATAATAATAATAATAATAATAATAATAATAATAATAATATTAATAATATTAATAATAATAATAGTTTTAATAATTTTTTTTGAAAAAAAATATAGATGTGTTTTGGGGAAATCATTCTAAAAAACGTTAAGTGAAAATATTGTAAATTGCAATGTTTGTATTTTAAGTGGTTTGAAACAAATTGCAATAGTTATGCCGTGCAACCGAATGTACCATGCGCATGGTGCATACGATGCAAAACGACGCCGTTTTGACTAAAAACGCGCGTCCCACTTAAAAAAAAAAATCAGGTTCGATTCTCGGCAATAGCATTATTGTGGATATATAGTTATGAATTTCTGGATATATAGTTATAAATTTGTGGATATATAGTTATGAATTTATGGATATTTAGTTCATTCATTGTGGATATTTAGTTCATTCATTGTAGATATTTACTTCATTCATTCACTGTGGATATATAGTTATGAATTTATGGATATATAGTTATGAATTTCTGGATATATAGTTATGAATTTATGGATATTTAGTTCATTCATTGTGGATATTTAGTTCAATCATTGTGGATATTTAGTTCATTCATTGTGGATATTTAGTTCATTCATTGTGGATTTTTACTTCATTCATTCATTCATTCATTCATTGTGGATTTTTACTTCATTCATTCACTGTGGATATATAGTTATGAATTTGTGGATATATAGTTATGAATTTCTAGATATATAGTTATGAATTTCTGGATATATAAAAATGCTATTGCCGGGAATCGAACTTGATTTCTTCTTTAAATGGGACGCGCATTTTTTTTAACCAAAAACGGCGCCGTTTTGCAACCGTATGCACCTTGCAAGGTGCATTCGGTTGCACAGCATAATTTGCGAACAAATTGTTGCTTCAAACTATTGAATAACCAAAACACTTTTTTTTTTTTTAGCATTTTGATCTTTGGGTTACATCACATTTACCAATTGTCTAATATCTTTGAGTTACATTATAATTAAAATTTTTATATTTTTACTACATCTAAATTCCTTAAATTAGGAATTTCTTTATCCATAATAATTTATTCAACAATAATGGTTGAACTAAATGAACACTGAGCAAAACACTTAAATGACTGGTATCGTTGATTCATTCATTGATCTTGTATATATGTGCATTCATTAAGTATATTAGAACCCTTTGTAACAAAAATACTTGGTTACTATTTAAAAAAATTTAGTAACAATTATAATGAATCTCCTATATTACATTGTATTTAATATTATGAATTATATATTTAAATAAACAAATTAGACATTAAATTAGTTATGTTGAACTTCTCATATATAATCTTGCATTTATATACTTTCAAATATTTATTTAATTATAAACATTGGGTATAAAAAAGGACTGTCAAATTATTAAATCAAATGAATAGTTCAGATTGTTCATATTTTAATTTTTAACATTGGGTATAAAAAATGACCGTTAGTATAATTCTAATATTAAAGTCTAATATATGATTATAACTACAACATTAATCTAATTCTAATATAAAAGTCTTAATAGAACTCTAACAGCAAATCCTACTGCCGGAATCTCCTCAAACAATATTACTATATTAGTATATATTTAATATTTTATGCTTCAATTTTTATTTGCTCTCCTTTATGTCCCGTATTTGATTTCAACTATACCCATACAATTATTTTATTGACAATTATAATTAATCTTGACTATATTATCTTGCATTTGTAAACTTAGAATTACCAATTTAAATATGCAAATTCAACATTCAATTATTAATGTATGAACAATTCTAATATAATCTTGTCTTGCTATACTTTAAAATACTTATTTAAGAATAATATTGGGCATTATCCCAATCGCGCAATGCGCGTACAAAACTAGTATAATAACAAAATCCTGTAATTTTAACTTCCCGCCTAATTCCTAACAAATCTCTCTTCCCAATAAAATATATTGATTTCTACTTTCCATTCGTACAATAGTTCTGGGTAAAAATTTTATTCTAAAATAGTGTAATACAATTCCCTTTGTACATCTATAGTTCTATACTATATATAATAACAAAATCCTGGAATTTTAACTTCCCGCCCAACTCCTTAAAAATCTCTCTTCCCAATAAAATATATTGATTTCTACTTTCCCATTCGTACAATAACTCTCGGTAAAAATTCTATTCTAAAATTTTAAAATAGTGTAATACAATTCCCTTTGTACATCTATACTATGTATAATAACAAAATCCTGGAATTTTAACTTCCCGCCCAATTCCTAAAAAATCTCTCTTCCCAATAAAATATATTGATTTCTACTTTACCATTCGTACAATAATTCTGGGTAAAAATTCTATTCTAAAATTTTAAAATAGTGTAATACAATTCCCTTTGTACATCTATACTATATATAATAACAAAATCCTGGAATTTTAACTTCCCACCCAATTCCTAACAAATCTCTCTTCCCAATAAAATATATTGATTTCTACTTTCCATTCGTACAATAATTCTGGGTAAAAATTTTATTCTAAAATGGTGTAATACAATTACCTTTGTACATCTATACTATATATAATAACAAGATCCTGGAATTTTAACTTCCCGCCCAATTCCTAAAAAATCTCTCTTCCCAATAAAATATATTGATTTTTACTTTCCCATTCGTACAATAATTCTGGGTAAAAATTCTATTCTAAAATTTTAAAATAGTGTAATACAATTCCCTTTGTACATCTATACTATATATAATTACAAAATCCTGGAATTATAACTTCCCGCCCAATTCCTAACAAATCACTCTTCCCAATAAAATATATTGATTTCTACTTTCCATTCGTACAATAATTCTGGGTTAATATTTTATTATAAAATAGTGTAATACAATTCCTTTTGTACATCTATACTATATATAATAACAAAATCCTGGAATTTTAACTTCCGGCCCATGATATTTCGGTTCCATTGAAACGACGTATGAAGATGATTATGCGGGATGGAACGTGGGTCTGGATAAATTTCAAATACGAACGTTTGCATATGTTCTGTTTTTTCTGCGGTGTGATGGGGCATACTGATAAATTCTGTTTAGCTGCTCGTCGTTCGCTATTGTCACCAGATCAATATTTATTTGGGGCGGCTATGAGAGCGGGTGGAAATAACCCGACAAAGACATTGGGTGATAAATGGTTTAAGATGGGGCAAGAGCGGAGGAAGGAAATTGGGTTTGGTATTGGAGGATACGGTCACGGTGCGACAGGCACGGGGGGGCGGGATACGGTAGGAATGAGGGGAAGGGTGGCGGTTGGTAATGCTGTGAGGGAGGGTGGTGACGGACAGGTTGGGATGTCGAGGGAGAAGGGGGTAATTGGGGAGGAAGAGGGAGTTAGGGTGGACCCGAAGAGGCGTAGAGTGGATGGGGAGGTTGATGGGGGAGTGGAAGTGGGAGTGGGTATCGAGCCAGACAACTTATGTTTGGCGAATTCTGAGGTTGAGGGTGGTAGGGGCTATCGGGTGAGGGAGGGAGTGGTGTTGGAAGAGGATATAGCAATGACCGATGTTCAAAAAAACTTGCAGATGGCGAGTGCTGCAGTGCAGACCCGCCCGACCCAATGAGTACATTGAGCTGGAACTGCCGTGGCTTGGGTAATCCACGGACAGTTCGGGAAATTGAGGACGTAGTGTCCCGCAAGAAACCCGATTTTATATTTCTGATGGAAACCAAGGTTAACCGAGATCATGCAGAGCGACTTCGGATTAAACTGGGTTTCGAAGGCCTTTTGAATGTGGATAACACTGGATTGAGTGGAGGATTGGCTTTGTTATGGAGAACGAATGAGACTGCAAGAATAATGGGTTATTCTAATAACCACATAGATGTTGTGGTGAGTGTGCCAGGTTTTGATAAGTGGAGGATGACTGGGTTTTATGGATTCTCGAAGCGCCCCCAGAGAAGAGAGTCGTGGGATCTTATTCGGTCATTGGCTAGTAGATCGGATCTGCCATGGGTAATTATTGGAGATTTTAATGATCTCTTATATCAGTATGAGAAACGAGGAGGGAATCCCCATCCAGACAGCTTGCTACGGGGTTTTGGAGAAACTATTGAGGAGTGTGGTTTGACACAATTGCCAATGTCTGGATATCCATATACTTGGGAGAAAGGAAAGGGCACGCCCAACTGGATAGAGGAACGATTGGATAAGGTTTTGGCTTCTCAAACCTGGAGGGAGTTGGTGGCTGATGCTAATGTGCAAAATATATTAACCCGGAAGTCAGATCATTCCTTCCTCTTCCTTGGGATTCTCGATCTGCGGGGAAGGAGGGGTGGTCGGAGAAGGGGTTTTCGATTTCAGATGGCATGGCTACATGATGAGGGATGTAGAGAGGTGGTGGAGAAATCATGGGGCGAGGGAAGGAGCAGAGGGTTGCAGGAGTGTGTCACTCTATGTGGTGATCGGTTAACACGCTGGGGTGAAGACCGATTCCATAAGTTTGGTGAGAAAATATTGAATTTACGGAAGGAACAGTTGCGCCTGCGGAGATGTACGGATCCAGTATCCCTAGCCGAGTTCCGGAGACTAGATGAATGTTTGGCTCGTATTGAGTTACAGGAAGATACGTACTGGAGGCAGAGGGCCAAGCAGCATTGGCTTAAGGATGCGGATTTAAACACCAAATTTTACCACAGGTATGCTTCTCATCGAAAGAAAAAGAATTCTATTACTAAAATTATGAATAGTGATGGGGATTGGATTGAGGGGGATGCCATGACGAATGAAATCTTGGATTATTATCGTGGTATTTTTAACTCGAGTACTCCTACTATTGATGATGAGTTCTTTGGGAGTATACAGTCACGTGTAACAAATATACAGAATGAGAGTTTATTGCGCCCTTTTGAGGAGAAGGAGGTTAAAGCAGCACTGTTTTCAATGTATCCTGATAAAGCGCCAGGCCCGGATGGTATGAACCCTGGATTTTATCAACACTTTTGGGATGTAGTGGGTTCTGATGTCTCTACTTATATTCTGAATTGTTTGAATACTCGCTCAATACCTGGCAAATTAAATGAAACGAACATTATTTTGATCCCCAAGAAGAAAACCCCGGAAATGGTTTCTAATTATAGGCCAATTGCCTTGAGTAATGTTATTTACAGAGTTATGGCAAAGATAATTACAGCCAGGATGAAGCCACTAATGGAGAGTATTATTTCTGAATCCCAGAGTGCATTTATATCTGGAAGACTAATTACAGATAATATCTTGATAGCGGCGGAAGTTGGCCATTTTTTGAACAGGAAACAATGTGGACTAGCAGGTTGGGGGGCTTTAAAGCTGGATATGGCAAAGGCTTACGATCGTATGGAATGGCCGTTTTTGGAAGGGATGCTAAGGGCACTGGGGTTTGATGAAAGATGGATAGAGTTACTAATGATGTGTGTAACCACTGTGTCTTACAGTGTACTGGTAAATGGTTCGACGACTGATCAAATAACCCCGACTCGCGGTTTAAGACAAGGTGATCCCCTGTCACCTTATTTGTTTATTATTTGTGCTGAGGGGCTTTCAATGTTATTACAACAGGCACAAGCAAGAGGGGAGATACATGGATGTAGAGTGGCGAGAGGAGCTCCCTCCATTACCCACCTATTTTTTGCTGATGATAGTCTGTTTTTTTTCAAAGCAAATACTCAAGAGGCGGGTGTGGTGAAACGTTGTTTGTCGGAATATGAGAAGATGTCTGGCCAGGCAGTTAACTATCACAAATCGAACATTTGTTATAGTAAGAATACCCGAAGTGAAATAAGGGAGGAGATTGCTGATATGTTGGGAGTAATGCAGGCTCAGAATTTTGGAAAGTATTTGGGGCTTCCATCATTTGTGGGCAGGAATAGAAAAGTGGCATTCTCATATATTGAGGATAAGATAAGGCAGAGGATAGACTCGTGGAATAAGAAACTTTTGTCACAGGCAGGAAAAGAAGTTTTATTGAAAAGTGTGGCACAGTCAATGCCTATCTTTTCAATGAGCGTTTTTTTACTCCCTATGACTCTGTGCACGGCCATTGAACGAACAATGAATCGATATTGGTGGAGATCGAGAGATGGTCAGGGTATTCATTGGAAAGCTTGGGATAAACTATGTATCCCAAAGGAATATGGAGGATTGGGATTCAAGGAGTTGCGTGCCTTTAACCTTGCAATGTTGGGCAAGCAAGCGTGGCGATTTCTGACACAGCCTAATTCATTGGTTTCAAGAGTTTATAAAGCCAGGTACTATCCCACTAATTCCTTCTATGAAGCATGCTTGGGAAATAATCCAAGTTTTTGCTGGAGAAGTATTTTGGCAGCACAAGATTTGGTTTGTGGAGGGGTTAGGCGCAGGATTGGGAATGGCAAATCGACTTTGATTTGGGACCATCCATGGCTACAAGATGTGAGTCACCCAAGAATTATAACAGAAAGGCCACCCCAATTGGCACAGGCAAAGGTAATGGGACTGATGGACCAGCAGACAGGAACCTGGGATCAGGAAATACTAACTGATATTTTGAATCCTGAGGATGTAGAGAGGGTTTTAAAAATACCTGTGTCACCCGATTATGAGGATTTGTGGTACTGGTATGGGGACCCAAAAGGAGAATATTCGGTTAAAAGTGGTTATAGAACGATAGTAGGTGACTACACCCAAACGGTTGGGGCCTTTGATAAATGGAAAATATTATGGAAGCTTAAAGCCCCCCCCCCCCGCCCCCCCCCCCCCCAAAGTGGAAAACATTTCTGTGGAGAGCTCTGAATGATATTTTACCCACTACGAAGAACTTACTTATAAAGAGAGTTGATATTGATCCAACATGCGCCATGTGTGGAATTGGGCATGAAGATATTGTGCATTCGTTGATCACATGTGCTTATTCGACAAACATTTGGGCACAATCCCACCTTCCAATCCCCAATTGTATCACAAATATTTTCAGTGATTGGTTCAATGATTTGTTGAATATTTTAGATAATGATGGAATTATTTATGCAGTGGCACTTCTATACTATATTTGGCGGGCAAGGAATGGGGCTGTATGGGAGGCAGCCTTGCCCAGGCCGCAGAAAATAATTGCAATGGCATCATCAGCTGTGAACGCCTGGAAATTAGCCCATCCTGGTCTGCATTCGCTACACACCTCCACGACGTCACCCGGCCGAGTTGCTACCGTGGTGGATACTCACACGGCTGCAGCAGATTTCTCGGCAACGCCCAACAACATTGCTGCCATGCAGAATACATTACAACCGCCGACGCAAAGCATGGAACTCCGAACTACACGAGATATAAGGAATCAGTGTTACTTCGATGCGGCATACGACCCACAGACGAACAAAACGGCGGTAGGAGCTATTATTCTAGATTCGCAAGGACATTATATTTCGGCTATGACTGCCCCTATGAGAGACTGTTTTTCACCACTAATGGCGGAGGCCTATGCATGCAAGGAAGTTTTGTCGTGGCTAAGAAGTCGCGAAATAAAGTCTATCGATCTCTTCACGGATTGTTTGGTACTTCAGCAATACCTATCATCTATGACACACTCGTCAAGATCGTACTTGGGATATGCCATTGATAGCTGCAGGACTAGTATATTATCTTTCGATTATTGTTTACTTCATTATGTTCCTAGACTAGATAATTATTTAGCTCATACTTTAGCATCTACTGCTTTATCTCAGTCAGCTACTTTGTACTCGGACTACGATCCGCCAGCATCTATTTCTGCATATTTTCAATAAATGCCCTACAGGCTCCTTTCAAAAAAAAAAAAAAAAAAAAAACTTCCGTCCCAATTCCTAATAAATCTCTCTTCCCAATAAAATATATTGATTTCTACTTTCCCATTCGTACAATAATTCTGCGTAAAAATTCTTTTCTAAAATTTTAAAATAGTGTAATACAATTTCCTTTGTAGATCTATACTATATCTATCTACAAATCTAATATGAGCGAATAATGTTAGGCCCTTAACTGGAACAAAAGAAATGCCGGTACTAATTGTTTCTTAAAATGAATGGTTCATATTATTTTGATTTTAGTATCTTTTAATGATTTTCCTTATTTACCCTCTATTATATTATTTTCTTCCCTTAAATAACTCTAAATTCCGTTAGTTTAAACTTTAGTAACAGAATATTCCGTTAACTATTTATTATTCTTAATATACTCTTAATTTATATAAGGTCTTAAGTTCGAACCTCATCCCAAGTATAATTGACATAATTGTTAAACATATATTATGAATATGTTAAAATGTATTAAAAATATATATAATATAAAATTTAACATAAACTTTGGTCAAATAATTAGCTCAACTAAATACATAGCATTCAAAGTTGAGCATCAAATATTATAAATCAGGAACTACTTTAAAATCATTTGATTTTCTTGAATTTTTTTATATAAAAAAAATTTATGTTAAGTTTTTTTTTTAATTAATCTTCTTCTGATTATTTAGAACAAAACTTAATATTTCAATTATGCTTTTGCATTATTGGAATGATTTAGGCCATTATGGTATTAATATTTTTTTGTATTTTTTTTATAATGGTACAATTGTACATTACATTACTAATATTATACTATTATTTGTTTATCGGACAAAATTGTTCTTACATCATTGTCAGACCTACGCAGCCTAACTACAAAGTTGTTGATCATATATACAATTACACATGGACTCTAAAATGGTAGGATCATTTTTCAAATAATTGACAATGTTAACATCTGTTGGGAAAAATCCCACTATCTGTGACAAATCAAAATCACAGAACCAACAAGAGCGCAAATACGAGATGGTACGAAATAGCCAAAATAAATAACAGATACAAGGGACACAAGATTTACGTGGAAAACCCCAAAGCGGGGAAAAACCACGGGACCACCACCACAAAAATATTCCACTATAATAAATCTTGGGTACAAAGTTCCTGGCTACCACACGAGCCAAACATCCAAAATCATCAAATACACCAACAGTAGGCCAAATACATATATTCTAATTCACAGGCTAAAAGGAATAATATTTCGTACCCAAAATATTCAACCACACGAGCAAGGTGAACATAATACAAATATTACGAGATTACCCAAAAGATGCCCAGAATAAATACAAGCTGACCTCAAAATATTTGATGAAGATAATACCCAAGAGATCGGCAAACCCACGACAAAGAAATGCCACAGATGAAGAAGAAATTGATGATGCTCCTTCTGCGTACGCCGTGAAGAAAGAAGATGAAGAAAATTGAATTTTCTTTCTTTCTTGATGTTACTACCGAAATGAAGAAAGAAGAATAAATAGAATTTATTTTTCTTCTTTCTTGCCTAAGAAGTGGGTAGAAGACGTGGTTGTTTCTCTCTCTATTTCTCTGGTGAATAAATGAGAACAACATCCCCTTTTTATAGCTGCTTTGCCGACATAAGGGGGAGAAAGGGGGAGAGTGCAATTTGAGGGGAAATTATCTTCAAATCTCATCCCATCAACTTCATCCCTTCAACTTCAACCCAAACTCCTTTTCTCCAAAACTTCCACCCTTCAACTTCTACCCCATGACAATTAAATAATTGCCAGAAGCACTTCCTCAAGAAGCTATCAAATATTATAGTGAATATAAAATTGGTTGTGTCCAAATTGAGCTATTTACCACATAGGAGGGAAGCCCCAACCCAACAAATCTCCCCCTCCCTACTATGTGGAGGATATCGCCATCCCGGTGATAGAACAACATACCTCAAACTTTCCTCTTGGCAATGATTTGGTCATCATGTCAGACCCATTATCATCTGTATGAATCTTTTCAAGTTCAAGCATCTTGCATTCCAAGATATCTCTAATCCAATGATATCTTGTGTCAATATGTTTTGACCTGTAGTGTTACGTGGAGTTCTTTGCAAGATGAACTGCACTCTGACTATCACAATAGAGCACATACTTGTCTTGAACAAACCCGAGCTCCTGAATAAACTTCTTCATCCATAGCATTTCTTTACTGGCCTCAACAATGCTATGAACTCAGCTTCAGTGGTAGACAAAGCAACGCACTTTTGCAATCTTGATTGCCATGAAACTGCTCCCCCTGCATAGGTAATCAGATAGCCTGAAGTGGACTTCCTCGTATCAACGTCTCCAGCCATATCTGAATCAGTGTATCCGGTGAGAATAGGTTTCCCTGTACCAAAACACAAACTCAGACTTGAAGTACCCCGAAGATATCTTAGAATCCACTTAACAGCATCCCAATGTTCTTTCCCTGGATTTGAAAGAAATCTGCTAACAACACCCACTGCATGAGCAATATCTGGTCTCATGCATACCATCGCATACATCAAACTACCTACAGCTGAAGAATAAGGAACTCTTTGCATTTCTTCCTTCTCTTTCTCACTAAAAGCACATTGTTTCTTGCTCAACTTGAAATGCATACCAAGAGGTGTATTCAATGGCTTAGCTTCATCCATATTGAATCTCTCAAGTACTTTCTCTATGTACTTCTCTTGAGATAACCACAGCTTCTTATTCTGCTTGTCACGGATGATCTTCATCCCAAGAATATGCTTTGCTAGTCCCATGTCCTTCATAGAAAAGGACTTACTCAACTCTTGTTTCAATTGTTGAATTCTTGAAACATTGCGACCAACAATCAGCATATCATCAACATAGAGCAACAATATAACAAAGTCATCATATGAGAATCTGTTTACAAAAACACAGTGGTCTGAAGAAGTCTTCTTGTACCCATGCTTACTCATAACGGAAGTAAACTTTTTATACCACTGCCTCGGAGCTTGCTTCAATCCATACAAACTCTTCTTTAACCTGCAAACATAATCCTCTTTCCCTTTGACTTTGAAACCCTCAGGCTGCTCCATATATATCTCCTCATCCAAATCACCATGGAAGAAAGCTGTCTTTACATCCATCTGCTCAATTTCTAAATCCAAACGAGCTGCTAGAGCCAACACAACTCTAATGGATGCAAATTTCACTACAGGAGAGAAAATTTCATCGAAATCAATACCTTTCTTTTGGCTAAAACCTTTCACCACCAGTCGAGCTTTGAATCGTGGAACTGAAGTGCCTTCTTCATGTTTCAATCTGTTGACCCACCTGTTCTTCAAAGCTTTCCTGTTCTTTGGTGCCTTCACCAACTCAAAGGTATCATTTGCATATAGGGAATTCATCTCATCCTGCATAGCCTCAAGCCACTGTCTCTTTTGCTCACTCTCCATAGCTTCTTCATAGAACTCAGGTTCTCCCCCATTAGTTAAGAGCACATACTGACTGGAAGAGTAACGAGTAGATGGTCTCCGTTAGGGGTGGGCACTTCGGTTCGGTTTATCCGAACCGAACCGATCTGATCCGATCCGAACCGAACCGAATGCTATATAATTTTTTTAATAAATAATAATAATAATAATAATAATAATAATAATAATAATAATAATAATAATAATAATAATAAAATAAAATTAATAATAACAATAATAATAATAATAATAATAATAATAATAATAATAATAATAATAATAATAATAATAATAATAATAAAGAAGTAAATCCAAGTTCCTCGATGCCTGCTCCGTTCTTCAGTTCTCATTCTTACTGGTATCGAACCTTATATTTTTTATTTGATTTCTTTATAGCTTGTTTTCTACATTGCACTTTTGTTGTTTGTCGCAATTGTTCTTTACCTCATAATTATATCTAACTTGAGTTATATTTACAATATTCAGTATTTTCCTTAGTTTCATGTTTTTCTATAAATTTAATGTGCTTTACAGTCATTCTAATTTTGATTTCCAGTGCACTATAATTATTTTCTAGTATTGGAATATATTTCGAGTGCACTAGCAATGATAGATTGTGTCCAAAAATTAACTATATAGTAATTGACACTAGTTCTTTTAATATCAACTATACAGATAGATGATTATTCATCTTATCAATAAAAATATTCCAACTGAACCAACTGAAGTGTCGGTTGTGCAAAAACGTTAACTGATGTTTGGTAATTAGTACTTAGTATTGTGTTTGAACTTTGGATTGCTATTTTGTTATATAATGTTTAGAGTTTGAATTTGGATTATGTGAATATGTATTGTTTGCTAGTATGTTCGAAAAATTAGAAAATGTTGAAATTTGGGGAGCTTAAACCGAACCAAATTAAATCCGAACCGAAACCGAACCGTTTCAAACCGAAACCGAACTGAACCTTAATGTTAAATCGAATGGTTTAACTTTTTTAAAACCGAAAAACCGAAACCGAAACCGAAACCGAAAAAAAACCGAATCGAAACCCGAAACGCACACCCCTAGTCTCCGTTCCCTGTTAGACCTTCTAGGAGGATCAACTGGAACCTGCGAAGGAACTTCTTGTTCCTGGTGCGCAACATCATTAACATGACCATCCACATCAGTTGTATCATCCTGCTGGTCTGGTACACGATCACCATTCTGGCCATTCTCTTGAACCTCATCAACACCATGTGTATCTCTGCTGGAAACTGGCTCACAGTCAACCAAACTTCCGCCATCTTGAGATTCTGGCTTTCTCACTTTGTCAACATCTTCAATGGTTTGATCTTCAAAGAACACTACATCTCAGCTTCTCACAAGCTTCTTTTCAACTGGATCATACAGTTTGTAGCCAAATTCATCAAGACCATAACCAATGAAAATGCATTGTCTAGTCTTCGAGTCCAACTTAGATCTCTCATCTCTTGGGACATGCACAAA